TCTGTCTGGCAAGCGCACGCGCCCTACAGTGAAAATCTCTCAAAAAAAAAAAAAGAATAATTAAGGCATTGCTGTATTGGTACCAGAGTAGATAAATAAACCAATGGAACAGAACAGATATAGAAATAAGTGCACATAATAGAAATCTGGTTTGTGATAGAGCTGGAATTTCAAGTCTGGGTGGAAAAGAGCTATTAAACAATTCTGACACTACTGCTTAGCCTTATTAAAATGAAATAAGTGGGGAACAGCAGGTGGTGTGGTGGTTAAGGTGCTGAACACTCCCTCCTCTCTGAGAAAGTGAAAAAGCTTGGGATTTTGGGCACATATGCACACATAATTTTCAAACCTCTGGGTTCAGGACTCATTACCACAGTCGAATATATGGGAATCTAGCACTTTACCCCCTATGCCACCTGTTGGTCCCACATGAGGGGAGGTTTTAAAAAATAATTATTTGCTTTCTGTGCAGATAGCAGGCCCCCGCAAGCATGGTGAACGTCTCTAAAACCCACCAGACCTTCTGTAAGAAGTGTGGCAAGCACCATCCTCATAAAGTGACACAGTACAAAAAGGGCAAGGATTCTCTGTGTGCTCAGGGGAAGTGGCGTTATGACAGGAAGCAGAGCGGCTATGGTGGACAGCCGAAGCCTATTTTCCAGAAAAAGGCAAAAAACTACAAAGAAGATTGTGCTGAGGCTTGAATGTGTTGAGCCCAGCTGCAGATCTGAGAGAACGCTGGCTATTAAGAGATGGGAACATTTTGAACTGGGAGGAGACAAGAAGAGAAAGGGTCAAGTGATCCAGTTCTAAGCTCATCTTTTCTATTACGAAGATGACAAAATCTTGAGGTGAATGTTCACCTCATTTGATTACAGTTGGTCTATTTGTAAGGGAATAAAGTAATCAATAAAATTCCCCTTTTGGGGAAATTTGAAAAAAAAGAAGTATTTTTGCCATATATCATAGTAATTTTCAAGGTAGATTAAGGACTTAAAATGAAAAAAGTATTAGACTTTTAGAAAACATGATAAAGGAGACTCTTCACATTGGGGTAGAGAAAGATTTCTTACATAAAACACAAAAAGTACAAATTATGAAGAAAACACTAATAAACTGAACTGCATTAAAACCAAGAATGTGAGTTCATCCAAATATGTAGTAAATGAAATGAAAACCCTTTTCCTCAGTTGGACAGTAGGGAAGATACTGCTGGCTTCTCGGAGTTGAGGAGACAGTGTGATGGGCAGATGTTTTTGAAGGTCATCTTGTATGAGATGAGAGCCAAGTGAATGGTGGCCACTCCTGAGAGAGGTTTCCTCAATGGCTCAAGAAAATAAGTGACTGTTTTAAGATTCTACAATCTGGTGCAAGCAGGTGGCATGGTGGTTAAGGTGCTGGACTCTCACTTGGCTACTGCAGTTTGAGTCCCAGACCCGGTGGCTTGAAACTCATGCCAAACACCTATGCATATGTACCCAAAATCCCGAGAGGAGGATGGAGAAGGGATTGTAGTGTTGGCCATTCCCCTGGAAGGGGGGGTGAATTTCTCACTTTCTGTCTCTTTGTATTTCTCTGTTTTTTTCCAGTGAGTGAACATGCCCTATAGTAACAATCTCTCACAAAACAAAAAAATTGAAAATAAAACTTCGACCATCCAGAGGTCGTGTCTGTTCATCCATACTGACATTTCTCTCCTGAAGGTCTTTTTCTGAACCTGCTTCAAGCTTGTCCCAGGTCTTAGGGAACAGATTGGGAGAGTCTCAGCTGAGTAACAATTTAGAGGGGACACCAAATACTGCTCCCTATTCTCTGCCTGAGGTAGGAGGAGGGTTGGGCCAGTCAGTGGAAGCCTGGAGAGGATGGGACC